AGCATCTGATCTTTGGCCGATGGTGCCGGGCGATCCATGGCGGTGTGGTCTAGGACCAAAACTCAAACTTGCAAAATAAAAAAGGGGCGTGCAAACTGGAAGCCGAGACGCCTATCTCGCCTTGTTAGGACTCCCTAAAGCTGCTGGTTGGGACTATTTTGTCTGTGATGATAATAAAGCCCCACGCAAGGCGCGAGCTGTGGATCTTGATCTAGTTGATAGCAACTGCTACCTTCTAGGTCTCATGCGCACACCATAGCACGCTCAAGGGCCTCGCAGGGTGGGCCCACAATAACAACCACCCTGCCCACATCAGAGCCATCACCTGATGCCGAAGCGATATCAGGAGCCTACAAAACAGATGGCTTTTGCGTTGCATTACAGTTTTTGAGTATGTCTTTTTTGCAAGTTCCATTGCGTCACTTTGTTTTAGTTACACATCCAGCTGAGAAGCTTCCTCTCACCTCATCCGAAGCATGAGCTTCCAACCTGAAGCGGGGACTGGGTCGTCCCCTGCTTGCTGCACGTAGGGAGCGCAGCCTTTGTGAGCAGACCTGCCGGCACCTGAGTCTGCATTCGGCCTGCCTATCACACTTTTGCGCCAATGACGAGCCACCGTGTGTTGCAGCGTGCTTTGCTCGAATGCGCTGCGGGTAGGTGCATTCGTTAGGTGCCTAGGTCGGCGCCACCTTGGCCGCCATGACAAGAGTCCTTGCATTGCCAAGGCACATGAGTGTGGTTGCGGAAGAAGAATTTATGCTTCTGCTTCACTTGCGCAGCTTGGTGGGCCTTTCGAAAACGCTCCGCCCGGCCTTGTCTTTTCTCACGCGCAATGAAATTCTTCAGGAAGCCCAGGAGGTCCTTACTGAGGAAGACCTGCTGCAATACGTGGTGTTTGCTGATCGCCTGGCGAGAACACTGGACGGGGAGAGCCTCGTCGCATTCCCTCCACCGCACTATGGTGCGACACAGCCGATCTCGGCAGCAGAGGCCTTGGCGGTGCAGTTTCTTCAGGAAGGCTCAGGATCGCTGTGGACGGCCATCCGTGAGGTCGCCCGGAGCCTGGACTTTGAGGAGGATGCCAGGCCGCATGCATGTGGCCTTTCCTTTAGGCTTGGCCTGTATAGCAAAGGCGGGCTGGTGGGCCTGACTAAGTCGAGTCGTGGGCATTGCGCAGCTGCCAGATTGCTCAACATGGCCATCCTCAAGATTCTGAATACGCACACGTGGACCACCCTCAGCATCCACCTCGACGACATGACCATGCCGCACTGTGATAGGGCCAACGCTCCGGGCAACAGCCTATTGCTGGGTCTTACTCATCACAGCGGTGGTGGACTCTGGATTGGGGATGGCCAGGGAAAGCATGCTATGCAGATCGATGGGGCGATGTGCAAAGGTACTATCTATAACACCCAGGCCCAGGCGATACTGTTCAACGCCCGCGAATGCATGCATGGCACCATTCCATGGAGCGACAATCGCTGCATCATTGTGGCGTACACCATCGGGCAGCACCGCCTCATGAGCCCGGAGCACCGAGAGTTTCTTTCGGAGACAGGCTTTGTTGTGCCTCCACCTAGCCATGTGCAAGAGGCGGCGCAAGACGAAGCTGCTGATGGTTCAGGCATACAGCAGCTCTCGGCCCAGAATGGGCAACAGCGACTGCGTTTTCACAGTAATTAGCCGCCACGGTCAGGGTGACCCTGGGGGTACTAGCTGCTCAGTGCTGACTGCGCCAGGCCTAGGCTTAGGATTTGCAGTAGGTGTTCCCCATCCCCTCCCTTGCCTGCCGATATACAATGGCCCCTGTCCGCTGCGACAAAGCCACCCAGCTGGCACGCAGGTGCAGGCTAGAGCTCGAACCACACGTACAGTCTCCTGCCTAGACCCCGGCGCGAAAATAATCTTGGGATTGTGCTCGTGCCCATGCAATAGTGCCTTGCCAAGCCGGCGACTTCGCGACAGCATTGCTAAACATGGTCTGCTTAGAGATAACACCCATTTCTCAGGTCATGGCCAGTCGACGTCGCCCGCTTGAACCAGAAGCGCCGCCAGCTGCGGAGGGAGCTCCCGCTGGCTCGAGGCGATGGCGGCGAGACAGGCAGAGCAGACAGTGCATGAGGCCAGGATGCGAGCGCCACTATGTTCGCTGCAAGCATAAGCACTGCTGCTCTTTGTGCTCCTTTGGACGGCATACAGAGAGGTGCGACGAGGATTGGCAGCTTTTTCAGGAGCGGCAGCAGCGGGCCAGGAGCAGGACCCAGATTACGCCATGTGCAGCTGGCTGCGGACGTTACGCAGGAGTTGGTCATGTGCGCTGTTGTACCTTGTGTGTTCGAAGCCAGGGACGAGACCATATATACAGAACAGTGCCAGGCCCGACAGCAGTTTGCGCACGTGGTTGGTGGCCCACGCTCCACAGGCGAGGATCCCACAGAGCCATCCATGGGACCGGGTGCGGCTGTAGATGCGGATGCAGGAACGGCGAGTCGGGCTTTTCGCTTTGCTTTTGGAGAACGCCCGGACCGTTCTTTGGAAGGGCTTCAGTCAACGAGGGCAGAAGATGTGGAGATGATAGATGTGGAGATGATGGATGCTACGACTGGGATAGGCAGTGCAGCAACCTCCTCTGCAGCAACCTCCTCCACGAGCCCCTTTACGACGGAGCAGCACCGCATGCTCCTGGCGAGTACAATCCTGGCGAATCATCTCATAGAGCCGATTGAAGTTCTAGATTCGGAGGAAGAGGCAGCGGAAGACATGCTCAATCAGATGGATTAGTAACT